CTGAGGAGGATCATCTCAAGACAGCCTTGACAAAGAGTGGATCAGATGGATTTCTTCATGCTGAGACAAAGGTCTACGAAACGTTACTGGATACCTACAAGGCAACTGATGATTCAGAACGTTTTGAGGAATTGGATAAGTCTGTCAAGGAGGTATGCACAGTAGAGGAGGAAGTCAGTGGCAGCCCGATGACTCACCATGCTGTTGACCCTGTCAATGCGGCTGATGACGACTGGTCAGAGTTAAAAGCTCCCAAGGTTGAGCTCAAACCGCTACCCTCATGACTGAGGTATGTATTCCTTGGATCCAACTCTACTTATCCTGTCATTGTGAATGCTAGCTTGAGTAATGAGGAATTAGAGTTGCTAGTCACTGAGCTTAGAAAATATAGAAGGGCCATAGGTTATTCCTTAGATGATATCAAGGGGATCTCACCTAGTCTCTGCATGCATAGGATTAATCTGGAAAATGAATCATACTCTAGTATTGAATCTCAAAGGAGATTGAATCCTAACCTTAAGGAAGTTGTGAAAAAAGAAATTCTTAAACTGTTGAATGCTGGGGTTATCTATCCTATCTCTGATAGTACTTGGGTATCCCCAGTACATTGCGTACCCAAGAAAGGGGGAATTACAGTGATAAAAAATGAAAAAGATGAATTGATCCCCACAAGAACTATCACTGGCCATAGGATGTGCATTGATTACAGAAAACTGAATGCTGCATCTAGGAAAGATCATTTTCCTCTTCCTTTCATTGATCAAATGTTAGAACGATTAGCTAATCATCCCTACTACTGTTTCCTTGATGGGTATAGCGGATTTTTCCAAATTCCTATCCACCCAAATGATCAGGAAAAGACTACTTTCACTTGTCCCTATGGCACATTTGCCTACAGACGCATGCCTTTTGGTTTGTGTAATGCACCTGCAACATTTCAGAGGTGTATGACCTCTATATTCTCGGATTTGATAGAGGAGATGGTGGAGGTATTCATGGATGATTTTTCCGTGTATGGCTCATCCTTCTCCTCATGTTTGTTGAATCTCTGCAGGGTATTAACAAGATGTGAGGAGACAAGCCTGGTGCTCAATTGGGAGAAGTGCCACTTCATGGTGAACGAAGGGATAGTGTTGGGACACAAGGTATCAGAGAAAGGGATTGAGGTTGATAAGGCAAAGATTGAGGTCATGATGCAGTTGCAGCCTCCCAAGTCAGTCAAGGATATAAGGAGTTTCCTTGGGCATGCTGGGTTTTACAGAAGATTCATCAAGGACTTCTCAAAAATTGCAAGACCCCTTACAAGACTGCTGTGCAAGGAGGTCGAGTTTGTTGTTGATGAGAGCTGTCTGGAAGCTTTCAACAAGATCAAGGAAGCGTTAGTCTCAGCACCAATAGTCCAAGCTCCAGACTGGGATCATCCTTTTGAGATAATGTGTGATGCCTCAGATTATGCAGTAGGGGCTGTGTTGGGACAGCGAATAGAGAAGAAACTGCATGTCATCTACTATGCGAGCAGAACCCTTGATGAGACACAAGGGAGGTATGCAACAATAGAGAAAGAGCTCTTGGCTGTAGTCTTTGCGTTTGAGAAATTCAGAAGTTACTTGGTGGGATCAAAAGTGGTAGTCTACACAGACCATGCTGCGCTTAGACATATATACTCCAAGAA